GTCGTATCCAACTACATAGTGCTGTTTTTATTGTGTTTAAAGTCACTTAGATTTTACAAATAGGTGAGCCATTCACAGCCCGGCACACGCATTTGTAAAATCTAAGTGACTCCTACAACATGGAATTCATATAAAACGGAATAATCAACAGTGTTGTAGGGGGGATCGACTGTAGTAATTAATTTCTTTTTATTTATTTATTTCATATTTGCAGACTAAAAGTTTACAGGTTACAAGGTGTCAATTAACTACTATGGCCCGCGGAAAAACGTAAAATTTATTCTGGCCCATGTTATAAAAAAGGTTGCCCACCCTTGGTCTAGATCAGTGGTTCGTAAACTTTTTATACTAGCGGCCCACCATAATTTTTTGTGATTCCCCATTTTTTAATAATAATTTATATTTGTTAAATTATCTATAATAAATTGATTTTATTATTGCTTTATTTTTTTATATAATAAATGTAAAACATGACTTTATTATTTCATTATCAATTTAAATAGCATTCAAACTTCACAGTTAAACATAAAAACTCATTAATTTTTAACAAAAAATAAAATAAGAAACATTTAAAAATTCATAGAAAAAACAAAAAATATTCGAAAATAATTTAATGAGATTTCTGCTGCTGAATATCCTCAACTAATTTGTTAATTCTTTGTTCAATTGTTTTTAATGCTATCCGCATGCAGGCATCTAATCGCAATCGATTGCGTTTTTTTGTTTTCATATCTACCATAGTTGAGAACACTTTTTCACACAAATATGTACTAGCGAAAGGCAGAAAATTTTGCATTGCTGCTGAAAACAGGGGAGGATATTCTGCACAAATTTGCATCCAAAATTCCAAGCATTAATAGTTTCTTAGAATTACTTTGGAATAAATGAAGTAAATACGGCGGTGTAAGTAGCATATTTGCATTTTATTTATTTATTTATTACGCATACTGGATGCATATTTGCATTTATTTCTTCTGTACTAACAAAGTTGTATGTAGGAAGAAATAAGAAATAAATTAATACGAAAACTTTGTCTTTCTTTTGAATGTCAATTTTTTTTAAAAATTATTTCTTCAAAAAATTGATGAAACATCATAGGTTAGATCCGAAGAAGTTAACCGACGTTTTTTTGTCTGGACCGCATTTTATCAGATACAAAAACTTCTGAGTGTTATCTTCGTTATTCTTTATTCACTATGCATTTCGGGTGCAATATTTTGTGTACCTTGCACCCCTCATCAGGTGTTACATTTCTATAAATTGGTAGAAATTCAATTATTACGGTAAAGTTACAATTTTTACAATTTACTATTTACAACAATTATTACATTTTTCATTATTTGGATATATTTACATAATTGTGGAGCACGTCTAACCTGTTTAATGTTTAGAAATACAGCTACGCGGTGTTGATGTTGTATCCGTTAAGGCATTTTTAACTGTCTTTCTTTCTTTCTGTTTTCCATATCTATTACTTATATTAGATAACTTTATCTTTCTTATTTCACTTTTCAATACGATATTCCGTTATACATAAATTTTCTTTTTATTACATTCTGAAGGAAATTTTGTATAATTTGGCGGCCCCCGGTAAACTTCTGATGGACCCCAGGGACCGCGGTCCCCCTGTTAAGAAACACTGGTCTAGATCATTGTTCCTCCTTATGAGTTTTAATTATATAAAATTATGAAATTTTAAGTAAGATCACAGTACAACTGTCCGCGGACTACAGTTTGAGTAGCATTGGCCTTATACCCTGTTCGCACCGAGCATTTCAATCTAATTCAATCCGTTTTTACGGTAGTGGAGTCTTTAACTTCTCATCTCAAATACGCTGTAGAGTCTGTATCAGTGTTTCTCAACGGGGGCGATATCGCTCCATCTGGGCGTTTCTCGATGTTGAGGGGGCGATTAGTAACAATTTATATTTTGGGGGCGAAAAACAATTTTCTGGGCGATATAGTAAAACATTATATTAAGAATAATTAGATATTTTATTCGTTATGTCGTACAATAATTAAACAAATAACATTATACTAGTCACTAGTCTATGCAATGCAGTACGAATTTGGTGTTAGCCCTGGCCCTCGACATCGGAATTTTGTAGTGAAGGGGGCGATACTACGTAACGGTTTTACTGAAGGGGGCGACGATTCATTAGAGGTTGAGAAACACTAGTCTGTATAGTCATTCATTTTTCAGTCCTATACGTTCAATAGTCCGATATATGTCGGATTACAGAGAATCTACTGTAAAATTTCAGACTAAATCTTTTTATAATAATGCTGTTACCTGGAAAAAGTTTTAGATCAAAATTCTTTTCTGTAATTAGTGTTTTAATACATAATTAGCGTGCTTTATATTAAAAATTTTTCTTTAAAAATTCTTTAAGAAATACAAGTGAAATTCACTGTATTTTTATTATTTATGTGCTTTATATTGTATATATATTACGTCTTCCTGATATAAAATGGCAATCGAACGCGTTGAAAGCTTTAGACAAAGTGAAAACCGTGTTCAGGAATGTATTGTTCTTTCGCTTTGTCACATTTGAGTAGTCATTTATTTATCTGTGAGAATGACACGACAAAATATTTGTCCTCGCTTAGTTATTACTTTTATATAATTGGAACAAATATGTAAATATTTAGGTCGATGCCACGCGAAACCGCTAAAACGGTTCTGGCAAGATGGCGTAATGATAAATCGAATGTATTTAGCCTCTTCTGATTAATTTGTTTGTTTCAATATGGCAGCACGACACGCGGGTGATCTACCGAGGGGGGAAGGACTTTTTATGGGAAACTGGCCCCTATTTAGGTGTTACAAACGTGGAAAAAAAGCCCGAAAAACACATGATCAACCCGTTAGCCAGGCGCGAACCCACGACAAGTGTTTAGAAATAGTTAATATAAATTTATTTATAATTAGCTGCGTGTGTGCGTGAGGGTGGGGTTGGGGAGTGTGATAACAACAATAGTCTTAGTAAGTAAAATGTACTGTACATTTATTGAATCTGTTATTTACAATAATGAAACTGCAAAACAAAAAAACTGGTCGAACTTAAGTTAAGAGAGGGTGGGCTTTAGGGGTGTTAAAGAGTGGAGAAACCTGTGGTATTTTTCTAGCTTGTCGAAGAATATTCATGCCAAATTTGATGCATAGCCTATATCTTACATAAATATTAATATATGCAAAATAACGTTTATTCGTAACGGTTTTGCATTACAAACGTTATGCAAGAATCTGTTTAAAATTATATTTTCTATTTGTAACATAATGAATCTTAGCAAAAAATATCAATTCGTAGTTCTGTTAGATTAAACACAAGAATTTCTCGAAAATAATATATATTTAAACAATTACCGTATATCAAGTAAACGATCTTTTTATATTACGAATACAATTAAAGTTCGACATCTGGAAGTCTTCAATAGATAGTGCATTGTATTTAATATGGTGGGTATGTTACTGAAGTCTGTACATTACTGTATACCAATGGTTCCCAAACTTATTATGCCCACGGACCCTTTCTCATAGCAGAAACCTGGCTATGAACCCCCAATGAAATAACTACACAACTACATAATAGCAAAATTACAAATCTAACTTTGTTGTCTTGAATGGTGACATAAAAATAAAATATAAATAAAACATTTAATTTTTCTTTTATCAAAATGTATAAAATTCGCTAAACAAACAAAATAAAATTTAAAATTTCATAATGTATGCTTTTATAATAATGAAAATGAGTCACAAACATTTTACTTATTATTATTAAACCTTCTACAGACCCCCAGGGTCCGTAGGAATCACTTTGGGGAAACATTGCTGTATATTGTACTGTCATGAAACTTTTGGGCTCATTCCCTGCATTAATAAATTCATCTCAATATACAGCTAATTGTAATAAATTACTGTATATCCATCTGGTAACTCCAGTAACTCAGACTACTTTCACCCCCTGTTAGTACTAATTAAGGAATTTGCTGTATATGTTAATTAAGCTGAAATTATTAGTTATTTTTGCTTCTTTTTTTAAATTTGAAGCTAGTTTTATTAATGTAAACATCTTAATTTTAATACATAATATTGGATAATTTTTAACCTAAAACTAGTCATGTATAAATGTATGACTAAGAAATTATTAAGAGTTTTATCATTTATTAATTTAGGATAAATATTTAAGCCTATTTATTTCATTTTTTTAAATGGAAATTGCTAATAAATCTGAAAAGTTATTTTTTCCATGTGGTTCTGATGAATAAGATAATATAATTAGAAAAATAACATTCTCTAGCAAATAATAGATAAATAATGACTTAATTAAAATTTGTTAACATGCTTTGTGTTAATTATGCACATGCGAATTAGATTTAAATCGAATTATTGGCTAGTTTCAACCCTTGAAATTTTTATTTAAATCAATCCAATTAATTGTATTTTGTTTTTGGTGTAAATTTGGTTAATTCAAAGCCATACATTTCATATTTCGAACATGAAAAAAGTAACGCGTAATCAGCTGCTATTATTGGAACCAGGTGTTTCAGAAATTCTTGATATGAGCCTATTCTGTGAAATTGTAGGACGTGGGCGAAATTGTCATACGTTTCACAGCTTTAGTGACATTTGTTAAGCCATTCTTAAGATAACTAAGCGTGGAAATTACACAACTATAGCTTAAAAAGCTGAAGTACAGATAATTAAAGGAGTGGATAATTAAAGTAAAGAGTCTACTGTCAAACACTGGAAACGTGCAGAAGTTGTATTTTGTTAAACTTAACAAATTCTCGATGATTATTTAGATTAAAAAATGTAGTAATTTATAATTTGTTAAATGACTACATCACGAATATGCTATGACGTTGCATAAAAATGTGTGTCAATGCAACGTGTATTAAAGAGTATGAAAATGCATTTTTCTGTAAACTTTATATCCTGTTGCGTATCGATTATATTCTCGAATTTTCAAATATTTAATTTACAATTTCATTTGCAGGAGAATAATCCCGAATTCGAAGGAATCACAGAATTGGTAAAACTTATATCCAAAATGTGCAATTCGGCCGATTCTTCAACTCCTACCGATGCAGGTAAGAACTTTCATAAATTTCAAATTGTTTACATGATATTTACTTTAATTAATATTTTAAAAATTAGCTAAGGTATACGCCGAAAAAATGAATAAAAAACGAAACCGCAACAAGACGTTTAAAATGAGGACAAAATACCATCATGTTCCTACGTTGATATGGCACTCGGATAGCAACGAGAACGTTGGCAAAGCGTTAGCGGAGCAGCATCATACGGACTTTTTAATAATGAAGCATGAATTAGATACTTATGGCAGATGGAATGATAAGACGATCGAGGAGAAATATTTAGTGATAACGAAATACAAATTGGAAAATTTACCCATCAGAGAGAGTTTGCGTCGTCCCACTTTGTTACTTAATGCTCGTAAGCACTTGGCTCGCAATTGTGACTAAGATTCACTTTAAATTTTTATATTTTAATATATATTTTTTTAAAATTTTAAATCTGATCTTCTGGTGATATAAACTGTGATATTTTGACTATTTTTATATAAATATAATTTGTTAAATTTATTTATATACGGCTACGTGCAATATTTAAACAGAATGTCAGCTTTGAAACCAGAATAACGAATTTGTTTTTCGGAAAAAAAATTCTTGATAACGGTTCTAAATATCTGAATTTTATTTTTTTATCTTTTTATTTATTTATTTCTATTCGAAATATGTCACCGATTTTTCAAAATAAATTCGAAATAAATAATTTGTTTTTTTCTTCTTATGCATGAATAATTTTTATGCCAAACATTCAAAGATTAATGAAGCTATTTTAGTTTCATTAATCTTATACAAAATAAAACAAAATAAAAATATTTGACACGTATAATTTTATTAAATTAAATTAAATGGTAGATAAGTTATTAACACAGACAGTAGATGCATAAATACGGTATAATATCTGTAGATTTGCATTAATTTTTTCAATGTGAAGACGTTTCAGCAAGTAAATTTGTGTATACGTGATTACAATATATTAATAGATCTGAAATTTAATTAAAATCCATTATCATTCTTTAAAATCCAAATAGATCTGGATAAAGAAGATATCAAACTGAAAATATTTTAAAATTCACAAAATTATGCTTGAAATTAAAAGTTTTAACAATGAAAATCCATTCTCTATCCACTGAAAAAGAAAACTGCACTAAAAATAAAAGTAAAAACGATGAGGAAACTGTGAAGGGGAGTAAATTCCGAATGACATCCTCCGTCTGAAAAAAATAAATAAAATTCAATAAATATTTAAAAATTACATCCTTTCATAAATTTCTTGTTTTTAATATTGAATTAAACTAACATACAAATTAAAAATAAATTGTTTATCATTTATATCAAATCGTATAACACTTGAACGTTACAATTCCATATGGTGATAATAACTAGAGAGAGATTCGTGTCTGCTGTAACGTTACATTATTTGAAAACTCAGTTTCTTTCAAATATAATTAAATACAATATTTTCATGTTTATAATTAATTGAGTTGGAGAGTTCAGTTTCGTTTTCCTAGCTAATAAATATTATATTTAATCAGAAATACACTATTTCTTTATTGTATCTTGCACTACAGCATTATCATAAATTTATCCTTCCTGGCAACAAATTCCAGAATTAAAAAAGAAAATCACAATAATTAAAAAATTAAAATGTATAGATTTCTTACGTATTTGTATGAACATCATCCCCGAGAAGGTTCATTGGGTTAAACAATTATGTATAGTACTGTACTGTACATACGCAAATCACGTACGTAATTGTATATTAATAATTGTACAAATATATACATTTTTGTAGTTTTCTTGTACACTGTCTTACAATAATTTTAAAAACACAAAACTTTTTGTAGTTAGTTAGTTTCGTGTGGGTCACGTGATATAGTGAGGCTCCGGAAGTGGGCCAGAACCACACTAAAAATAACTAATTTGTTTTTTAAAAAACAATAAAAAACTAGTTTAAAAAATTTGGTTTTCTAGTTTAAAAATTTATAAAACTTTAAAGCAAAAGGCCATGCCCATATAAGGACATGTTTGATGAAATTATAAAAAAAGACGGTACAGTATTTCTCATATTTTAACAATAGAATGATGTAAGTCCTAAGATCGACCATCTTCGATTGGGTTCGAATTGACAGACGATGTTGACTCATTTCGCGATCTGGGTTCCGATCTCGTTACACCTGGTAACGAGTGAAGATCAATTAGAAAGCGGAGATGAGTATGATCGGCCAATCGGAATAGTCGATCTGGGTTATAAAAAGTTAATAAATGATAATTCAAAGGACACAGGGAGCTTCTCCCAGTCTTCCTATAGTGCAGCACCATACATTGGAAAAGAAATCGCCTCTGCATCCCGACATCAAACTGAATTACACTTCGACTTCGTGACGGACTTTCTCCCTTCAACACCCCCGGGCCTTCGACTTCTCAAACGGGATCTGAAAGGATAGTTCCAATAGGACATTCACCCTTCGAAGGAAGAAACAAATTGGAAGACCCGACTTGGCCTACAGATTGTCGACTGTTGTAGCTGTAAGCTTATTACTTTAGTTACAATAAACCGAGATAATTGTTTGTAAGTGGAGAGTTGTCTCTGTGCCTAACGTTCCCACGTACAATACGGCATTGCTCGGATATCATGCTTTTACGCGCCGATCGGCGACCTCACAATATGTAAACATGCTTTTTGTAGTGTAGAAGGCGTGGTGTCAAGCCTAAGCGTAAGCTAAGCTTATCGATTAACTTCAGGCAAATAATAAATTTTATGAAAAAATGAATAAAATGTCAAATTCGGCTTATGCTTATGAATGTACGAATAATAATAAATGAAAGAATAGAAATAAAAATATAAATATTAAACCTAAATAGTTAAATGTATAGCAAGTATTCGTTTTCGTACTTGTATAATAACAGTACTTTGATGGGAAATGTTTTATCAATCATTTATTAACAAGCGAGTTTTGTACTACTAAATTTATACAGGATGAAGAAAAAGTCTGCAAACACCCTTTTGTTTCGAGCAGACAAAATTGACTTGCCATGTGCCAAGATAATCTACTTTTTATGAGGATAGCGTTTTCGGTCGCCATCTTAAATGCAGCTCCCAATTTTCAAATAGAAAGATATCATATATCAATTAAGCCTAAAATTAATCCAGAAATAACGTAAACATCAGTTTTATTATAATCTCATTCGTTTAACAGTTATTCACATGCAAATGTCTACAAGACGTGTTTAATGTGTTCACCTTGGCCGCGTTTCTTTATGCAGCGCTCGAGAAGCGCTTTACAGCGAACACTCTGAAACCCATTTCTAAATGCAGCGCTGCAATGTAGCGAACTGTTTTTAAACGTTTGCTGCAAGAGGTCGCTGCAGCGAAGATAAAGCAGCTTTTACGTCCGCTACACGTGTAAAGCAAAATGGACGCTTGTGTGTATAATACGATATTATGCTGTAAAAATAAAAAAGTCGAAGTGACTGTTGATAAAAATATTATGGAAAGATTAAGAAGGATTAAATTTTATGAAATGACTC